AAAACCACTGCTCCTCCCCCCCAGCTTGGCTACTTCAGCTCACAGTATGTAGAGAGCCAGGCAACGAAGCCAGCAGCCAGCACTTAGCTAGCAGCTTCCGGGTCTCCATTCAAAGTGTCACCTGGGCCAGAGCACCATGTGGTCCGGTCCCACCCCAGCCTGTCGTCCCCCTAACTTGGCATCCAGGGGCAACAGTCCCCTTCTGCCCCCCCCCCCCTTCGCTACGCCTCTGTTTTGCAGACTGGCCCTTAGGCACACACAAGTTATGGAACTCAATGCCTGGATAACAAGGTGAAATTGAATACCCTGTGTCATACAGGAATTCAGACTGGAAGATGCACTGGTCCCTTCGGGCCCTAAACCCTACAAATCTATGAATAAAGAAAATAGAGCGGGCATTTCCATCAGCTGTCTCATAGAACACAGGAAGAAGGGAACATTGTTCCCAGCATCCACGTTTCTCCTGCACAGCTCCTTGTCTCAGATGTCATGGGGGCAAAGAGTTTAGCTGAGTGGGATTCACAAGGGGCATGGCCATTGTAGATATTGCTGGTGGCACCACCTCTAATTAAGACACTGACACCTTCTATATGGATGACTCATTTTCAGCGTGACAGGGCCCAGGGCTGTTTAACGGCTGTGCAGAGCAGAATGAAAAACAGACCTTGTCTCTGTCCCATCATGCCCATGTTGCACTGGGTTTGTCGAGCAGGTGAGCTCCTCAGCGTGAGATGGGTACCTGTTAATTCTGAGAGGGACGTGTCTTCCCTGGGACTCCCCTTCAGCTAGTTGTATCCCACACCTGTCTCACCCCAGCATCTGCAGCAGCCTCCCACGCCAGGAACGGACATGGTGCATGTGCTGTTGCTAATATAGCTCCATACAATCGCAGGGGGGGTTGCTCAGCCTGTAGGGGAAACATGGCATCTGGATGTAACCAGGCTGGAGACCAGGCGCACAGTACCCAGTGTCTCTCTTTCCACATCTTTGCTTCAGGATTCTTTTTCCACCTTTAAAAGTAAACAATAATTAAGAGACCTTCCCAAAGGGGGAGGAGAACTCTTGAGCTCTGTGCTGAGTCAAAGAGGAATTGGCTGCTCTGTGTGTTTGTGTACATTTAAATACTAGAATTGTTTCACGAAGCATAAGGGATCAGTCAGCAAAGGCTTTCCTTGTTGATTGATCCCCATCTTGACTGCCAGTTTGGGTTGACAAACAGCTGAGCTGGCACAACGTGGCGGCCATTTTTATTCTAATGAAGCGGGGGATATTTAAATCCCTGCTTCATTGACTATGTCGGTATGTCTAATTTACATGCCTCCATCGGCAGAGGCATGTAGTCTAGATATACCCTTGGGGAGAAGGTGTCAAGAAAAATGTCTCTCAATGTGGATTCAGAGGAATGCCCAAATGTACACAGTTTTAACTATGATTTTATACCCTCTACAAAAAAAAAAGGCCATTGTGGCCTACGTATCTTCCATTCCTCAACTTGACTAAGAAACCTGTTCACATAGGGCCTAGTCGAAAGCCACTTTCCTTCACAGAGCTGCAGTATTGGCTGTTAAACTTGATGTCAGGGAAAGGCTGAGGGAGAGGTTGTGTGGAGTCAGGGGCTGAGGGTGATGTTGAAAGAGAACAGGTGAGAGAACAGAGGAATGGAGTGAGCAGTATTTGGTGATGAAGAGGTAAGAAGATAGGTGAAACTTGGTCTGGTGGAAGTTCAGAGTCTGAGAAACTCCACACACCTGACTAGGACAGGGCACCATAGATTAATGCAGAGATGGGCTTTCCCCTCCCTGTGATGCAGGTTTAACGTTGGTGACGCCCAGATGAGACGACTTGCTGCAGGTGTTATTTCCCCACTTTCTCATGGAGCTCTTTGGTTTTGGCCGCATAAATGATGGGATTGAGCACAGGGAGCAGTAGGTAAAAGAGGTTGGCCAAGATGATGTGAACGTGGGAAGCAATAGCCTGACCGAATCGGTGTGTGAGACTGGAGAAGAGGAAAACAGGGTAAGAAATCAGCATCACACAGATGTGGGCGGTGCAGGTGTTGAGGGGTTTTTTTGGGAGCTTTCTTGGAGGAGATTCTGAGGACAGCCGTGATGATGAGACTGTAGGACAGGACAATGAGTGTCAGGTCTAACCCAATGCCAAGAAACACTATCGCCAAAGCGTACATAGTGTTCACTGTGATGGCCCCACATGACACCTATGCTACTGCTATGTGGTCACAGTACGTGTTGGGGATAACGTGGTTGTCACAGAATGGCAGTCTGCTCAGGAGCAGGGGCAGAGGTAGAATGAAGAGAACAGGTCTTAGCAACCCCACTAGCCCAAGCTTAGCTACCCGTGTGAGGGTGAGGATGGTGGGGTATCTCAGAGGGTTACAGATGGCAATGTAGTGATCGAAGGCCATTATCATGAGGATAGCCGAGTGCATCGCAACACACCCATGAAGGATATACAGCTGGGTGAGGCAGCCAGCCATAGTAATGTCTTTCAAATTGAACCAATATATACTCAGGGCCTTGGACACAACGCAGGAAGGTGTAACGATGTCTGTGAGCGCCAGCATGCAGAGCAGCAGGTACATCGGCTTGCGCAGGGTCTGCTCTTTGCCGACCACAAACAGAACCATGAGATTTCTGAAGAGGCCAGAAATGTAGAACATAGAGAAGGGGATGGAAATCCAGACATGAACAGCCTCCAGGCCAGGGACGCCCGATAGGATGAATGTTAGAGTCAGAGGAGGTGAAGTTGAAAGCTGCCATGAGGTGGTCAAGACATCGATCATGCTCAGAAGTGAGCAAGGCGCCTGTGAAAGAAAAAAAGCAGAGCCAGAAGGTTACATGCTTTATATCAAACAGTACATGAATTATTGGATATTTATTAACCATCTAGAAAAGTGAGTGAGTAGTGCAGTGCCAAATTTTGCAAATGACACCAGATTATTTAGTGCATGCTCATGTCCAGAGTTCTCAGAGGGAGCTAATCATGCCTAGGGAACAGGCAGAATGTTGGTGGGTAAACTTTGACGTCAATAACTTCAACATGTATGTCCGTTGGGGAGGGAAATGCGTGAACACCTCACACACCTGCATGAGAGGGAGCTGGGCACTACGGCATGGGATACCCTGCTCACAGAGCAAGCAGGGACAGAAACTAAGGAAAACATCTGAATCCAGCAGGCATGGGATGGGGAATTCTACATGTAACACAAGGCCTTAGAACAAGGAACTCCATGTTTCTCTAGCCTCCTCTTATGGTTTATTGTAACATCCTACAGCTGCATATGGACCATGTCATTGTAACATGAAGTCCATTTGCCCCTAAAAAGTCACTGTCACCCTATGGTAGGAAAAATACATGGTGATGAATTGATTCAAACTACAATGTGTGGGAAACCCTTGTTCTCTTTCTGTTTTTTCCCTCTGGGGCAGCTGGCATTGGCCACTGTCAGAAGAGAAGATGCTGGGACTAGATGGACCATTGGTCTTACCCATGATGGCCATTCTGATGTTCTTATATATATGTCTCTTGTATCTCTGATTCTGCTGAGTCCAACTAAATGCACGCCCATCCAATGGCAGAGATGGAACCCAAGAGTAATGACGGGTCCATCTCTCTGCAGAGTTAGTGACTAAGAAAGAATATACATGAAAATGTTACAACTAACCAGTGTCCCTTAAGTGACTTGTGACAGGATGTCAGAGCATGATAGTATTATAGCTGAATGGGTCTACTCAGAGAATCTTAGAATCCTAGATCCCCAAAATTTGGAAGGGACCTCAAGAGGTCATCAAGTCCAGTTCCCTGCCCTCACGTCAGGACCCAGTACCATCTAGACCATCCCTGATGTAATTTCTTTAATTTCTTTTTATATATATATGTGTTAGATACAGTGCTCTTGACAGCTAATTGCTAACTTAGGCTGTGTCTAGACTACATGGCTCCGACGACAGAGCCATGTAGATTAGACAGATAGGCAAAGGCAAATGAAGCCGCGATTTAAATTATCGCGGCTTCATTTACATTTACATGGCTGCTGCGCTGAGCCGACAAATGGCATATAAGGGTATGTCTAAACTACATGGCTATGTCGATGGAGCCATGTAGATTTGTTTTTTTGGCAAAGGCAAATGAAACCGCGATTTAAATGATCGCGGCTTCATTTAAATTTACATGGCTGCCGCGCTGAGCCGACAAACAGCTGATCAGCTGTTTGTCGGCTCAGCGCGGCAGCCATGTAAATTTAAATGAAGCCGCGATCATTTAAATCGCGGTTTCATTTGCCTTTGCCAAAAAAACAAATCTACATGGCTCCATCGACATAGCCATGTAGTTTAGACATACCCTTATATGCCAAACAAACAAAGGCTAAGTCTAGACTGCACTGCTTTTCCTGGATACCTCTGGTATCCTAGAAAAGCAATGCTGCATCCAAGGAAGGCATCGTTTAAAAAAAAAATTGGAAAAAGCGGATGCGCTCTTTCGCCAACCCTGTAAACCTCATTTTACAAGGAATAAGGGATGTGTCGAAAAATAACTTTTTTTCCAAAATTTGGTGCCATGTAGATGTGCCAAATTTTAGAAAACCCTCTTTCAATAGTAAAGCAGAAAAAGATACACAAAATTTGCATATTGCAAATTGCGTTTCTTTTTCCGAGTTATCCTTGCAGGGTAGACCTAGCCTAAGAAACAAACGAACTAACAGAGGGTATGTCTACACTACCCCGCTAGTTCGAACTAGTGGGGTAGTGTAGACATACCCCAGAGAGTTTCTAACAGCCTAAGTACACACTGGAAACACAATCAAACTCCACACTGAGAGTGTTCACACTGATTGGACGCTGTTTCACATAAAAGGCCACCCAGAACCACTTCAACCAGGGCTTTAGGTCACTAGTTGCTTCCGAGTGCTGGTGCTAGAGCCCTGCAGAGACACACACTTAAAGGGAACCCCCCCCCCGGACAGTCATTTCTCTGCTTCTGCTGCCTGCTTACATCTCGCATTCTGGCAACCCTCTCCCTAGGCGCAGGCGCTACAGTCTGGCAACCACACCCCTCAGTGGAGAGGCGTTTCTGGAGGCTCGATGCCAGTTCGGACTGGTGAGACCAGCTGGTCATGGAGCAGTGGGACAACCAGCAGTGGCTCCAAAACTTCCACATGCAGAAGGCCACCTTTTTGGAGCTGTGTACCTGGCTCGCCTCCCCCCTCCAGAGACGTGACACCCACCTGCAGCCTGCCATCCCCCTGGAGAAGAGGGTTGCAATCGCCATCTGGAAGCTCACCACCTTCAACAGCTACCGGTTGATGGGCAACCAGTTCAGTGTGGGGAAGTCCACTGTCAGGGCCCTCCTCATGGAGGTAAGGCACTCAGGGGCTACAGTCCCTGCAGGCAAGGGGAGTCCTGGAAAAGGGAAATCCTAGGGAATGGGGGGTTGGAGACTATGGGGGGTGGAATGAGGGTGGGGGAAACCCTTTCTCTTGGGAGTTGTGCCTTCCTGCCCTCACTCAGCCCTGCTGCTGGGGAGGCAGCTTCATAGTGGGTGGCTCCTGGGGTGTTTTAGGGAGGGAAGGGAAGAGGGGGCAGCCACCTCCCAGGGGTCCAGGCACTCCCTCTCTTATTCTCTGTGTTGTGTGTTTGTTTGTGTCCTTCTGCAGGTGGTGAGGGTCATCAACTCGATCCTGCCGTGGAGGATCATCTGCCTGGGAGACCTGGACCTGGTCGTGGCCAGATATGCTGCCCTGGGGTATCCGAACTGTGGTGGAGCGACGGATGGGTCCCACATACCAATCAGCGCAACGGAGCATCAAGCAGCCCAATACATAAATTGCAAGGGTTTCTTCTCAATGGTGCTGCAGGCCCTGGTCAACCACCGTGGACAGTTCACGGACATTTCTGTCGGGTGGTCACGCAGGGCACATGATGCCCATGTCTTCAGGAACTCTAGCCTGAACAGGAATCTGGAGGTGGGCACATTCTTCCCCCGCTGTGAACTAGCGGTTGGGGACATGCAGATGCCATTGTGCATCATGGGGGATGCAGCCTACTCCTTCATGCCGTGGCTAATGAAGCTGTACACCAGCCACCCGGACCCCAGCAGGGACCAATTTAATGCCCACCTCAGCTGGGCTTGAATCCAAGTGGAGTGTGCCTTTGAGCATCTGAAGGCACGGTTCAGGTGCCTGCTGACCCTCCTGGATGTGGGGGAGCACAACATCCCCATGGTGGTCGCAGCATGCTGTGCCCTCCACAACATTGTGGAGAGGAAGGGGGAGGCCTTCCTCCTGGAGTTGGAGGCAGACTCTGGCTGCGAGGGCCAAGCCTTCCAGCAACCATGGACAGCTGCCATCTGACAGGCCCATCAGGCCGGGGTGTGCATCCACGAGGCCCTGAGGAAGAGTTTCTCTCAAGAACCCCAGAAACTCTCCTCAGGGCCTCCCCAATAGGGTCCTCTGGCTTTCAGCCCTATCCCTTCCCTACCACAACCCCTCCCTTCACCCCTTCCCTGACCTGTCAATAAAAACACCTGTGTTGTTTCCAACAAAATGAAGTCTGAATTAATATTACATTAAAAAAGGTGTGCAGGAGGACAGGGCCTCATAACCTGGAGAGGGAGGGGGACAGCTAGATGTGCCACCTCAGGTGCAGGGACTTCATCGGAGGTGGGCATGGGGGGGGGGGCGGCGGGGGGGCGGGGGAGGGCGGGGGG